TGGACTCCATCCATTTGTGAAAATATCTCAAATTGTGGTCATTTAGAGGGTTATTATAGAATTGTTTATTGACCTGTATATACATAAACACCATTTATTATGATAAATGTAACAGGTGCTTCCCAGGATGCTAACTGGAGATACTTTAGGGTCTCCAAAATAGAAACATAATAGTATTTTTCTGGCTCAGTTCTCACCACAAAGGACTGCAGAAAGCCTCCTTTATATTCTTCCTTTGAGTTCAAGGCTGGAAATATTGGGTGGAGGGACTCAGTGGCATCTTTTGCAAACTGCTCTTTCACTGCACATTTTACATAGTGACCTAACTTTCCTCTTCCTTTTTTCTCTTTTTTTAGAGAGATATTTTTGCTACAGGATGCATGTGCTCACCAGAGAGAGAGAGACAGGAGGAGAGAAATCACCCCTGCTGGATCTGGGTCTTGAACCACGTTGATTACATGGGAGTCCAGTGACATAACCATTTCGCCATCTGCTGGTCCCTATAGTGACCTGTCTTTCCACTGAAAAGTCAGAGCATCCACCCCCAACAGCATAGTGCATGTATTTCAGTATTTCACACTGATGGCCTCATTTACCTATGCATCCATTCTTTCTTTTAACAAACACATTGAACGTCTGTTATGTGCCAAGCACTGCTTTAGGCAGCAGGAGTATTGCTGCCTAAACAGATCAGTTCTTGCTCTCATGGTGCTTAAAATCTAGTGAGGAGAGATAGTCTATGAACAAATCAGTATAAGTCATGTAGTCATATGTGCTACAGATAGTAAAGCAAAGGAAGGGGATACAAAGCAATGGTGAGGTGAGTGCTATTTAATGTAGATAGGTTGATATTGAATAGAGTTTTGAAGGGGGTGAGGCAGGACCCATGTGGGCATCTGAAGAAAGAGCATAGTAAGCCATGGAAGGAATTTGGACTTTACTCAGAGGCAGAAAACACTGAAGGATGCTGAACAGATCAATAGCATTAATAAGATGATGCTGACTGCTGTGTGGAGAATAGACTGTTGGGGACCCAGGTAAGGGTTGAAGAAGGGAGGCCAGTTAGGTGGCCACTGCAGTTGTCAAGAGGGAGGGATGATGGTGGCATGTAACTGGATGAAACTAGATGGGCAGAGAAGTGGCCAAATTCTGAACCCATTTAAAAGGAAGGAGTAACACAATTTGGCAATGGATTGAATGTGAGTGTGAAGGAGAGGATAACTCCAAGGATTTTGACTTCACCAATTTGTTAAAATGGAAAGACCATTTACTGACTTGGAGACAACTGAAAGAGGATCAGATTTGAGTGAGAAAACAGGAATTCCATCCTGATATATAAGGTGTTAGGCAAGTGGTTGGCAATATGAGCTTGGCAAAAAGAGAAGATGTTGGGGTTAGAGAGATAAATTAGGAAATCATGAGCATACAGGTAATACATCAAGCCTGGGTATTAAGTGAAGTCATATAGAGAGCAAGTGTCAATAAAGAAGATATCAGGGGGACCAGCAGTTAGCTAATGGCTATGTCGCTGGACTCCCATGTAGTAGACCGTGGTTCATGTCCCGGACCTGGTGACTTAAAACTGACGCCAGGTGTGTGTTTGTGCATGCCCAAGATCCCGAGAGGAGAATGGAGGAGAAGGGATTGTGGCGTGGCCGTCCCTTCTAGGGGATGATTTCTCACTTTCTGTCTCTCTGTCTCTCTCTGTCTTTCTGGTGAGTGCGTGTGCCCTCTTAAAAAAGAAGAAGAAGAACATAACAGGTCCCAGGATGACATCTGAAGCCATATAGTGTTTAGAGGTCAGAAGAGAATGAGAAACAGAGAGCGGTGAGACCTTCCTGAAAATAAATTATTTCAAGAAGAAAGACTTGATTAGATCAAATATTTCCAGTGACTACTCTAAGACTTAGAAATAAACATTATTTTTGGCAATAGGACGTCATTGGACTCCATGTCATAAGCAGTCTTGGTGGAGTATGGGATTGAAATCCAAATTGGAACACATGCAAAAAAAAAAAATTCAAGTAGTGGAAATGACAAGTACCTATAAGCCTTTGTGAGGGTTTTGCAGTAAAAAGGAAAACTGATGTAGCTCTAAGGGGGACGTGGGGTCAAGTGAAGCTCTTTGGGAAAAAAAGGTGTGAGGTTCAATGGAGTGTTTATATGATAGTGGAAATGATCCAGGATGGCGGGGGAGCGGAGAACTGATGAAGTAAGAGGGAGATGATAAAGTTATAGGATCTATATTCTTGAGTAGATTAAGGGGATCAGGATTCTGCTCATAAGTAAAAGGTTTAGCCTTTGCTACGGCATGAGTGACTTATTGCAACAGAGAAAAGGCAGCATATGGGCATATATACAGTTAACAGGATTGACCAAGTGGTGGGAGGGTTCTCATGTTCTCTTTTGATTGCTTCTGTTTATTCTGTGAACTGTGAAGCAATGAGGATGAAGAGTTTTAGAGAGTTGAAGAGAGGTGAGAAGGTCTAAAATAGCTACTTAGAAGAGTTGCAGAGTAAGTCAATAAAGCAAATGGAATACAATTTGCTGTAGAGTCAAGGAACCACTTGAAATTTTGAAAAAGAGAACTGTTGGGAACCAGCAGTTAGCGTAATGGCTGTGTCGCTGGACTCCCACGTAGTCGACCGCGGTTCGTGTCCCGGACCTGGTGGCTTAAAACTCACGCTGGGCGCATGTGCGTGTGTGCCCAAGATCCCAAGAGGAGAATGGAGGAGAAGGGATTGCGGTGTGACCATCCCCCCTGGGGGGTGATTTCTCGCTTTCTGTCTCTATGTCTCTCTCTGTCTGTCTGGCGAGCGCACGTGCCCTATAGCTAAAAACCTCTCAAAAAAAAAAAAAAAAGAGAACTGTCAGTGTAGTTGTGTACTTTTCTTCAGCTATATTCGGTCACCAAGGTAAGACATGTACAGTAGGCAAAACACTGGCATTTTGTCAAGTGATGGTAGAAAGTGATTCGCCAATTGCCCATGAACTCTAAAAAGAAAATCAGTGGGAAAATGCATCTCACTACTAGTAATTGTCCACACTGAGCCATAGAGCATACCCCTTGAGGTTTCTGAAATTTGTCCAAAGTGAATGGGACAGAAATATGAGTGCCATTTAACCAAAGGACCTCTTTTGTGCTTCTCCTGCCATAGTCATATGCCCCAGTCTTCAATCCCATCTGGACACAAGTGGTACAAGCCCAGGTTGGAGGGTGTGATTATACAGTAGTCCTTATTCCCTAGTGGCTGAAGGGACTATCTTCCCATTATCCCCTTCATCTCCCCCACCAGCATCCAGTCATTTTCTTTTTCCAATTTAGTTAAGACTTCGGTTCCTCAAATAGCAGGAACTCTCAGGTGGTATCTAGAACATTCCCCAGCTCCATACATATAGTATTCAGAGTGCTAGCACCTCTGTCATAAAATTGCCCTGTTAATTTTTTTCTTAGTATGAGCATAGATCTTATAGTTCCCAGGAGACTTGAAGAGTGAATAAAGTAGATATTTATTTATATCATTTCAGTAGAGACCTGCTCTTGCATTTATTTAGTGATATATTTAAGAAAGCCTTCTTTTGAGTCTTTTGACAATATTTGTTCCTTTTAAAGTTTTATGTTTAAAGCAGTGGTGATATCCCTATTCGCTTAGAAATGACCCCTCTGTCATTCTGAAGTTTAACATATTTTTCCCCAAATGAACTAGAATTTTCCATTAAACAGTAATGATCTTACAAATTCGCCCTTTCCCCCATTTATAATGCTTTGACATGCACTGCCAAATAGTAATGTAAATATCAGACTATTAGACGCAAGTCTTCTTGCTGAGTGCCCAAGGCAGCTAAACGCTTGTGTGCATGTTGTCTTGTATGACTTGGAATCACACATTTTCTTACCACCTTAGACATTCCTTCTATTTTGCTTACTCTTCTGAAACCCAGCCTTCTCCAAGTGTTAGGAATGGGGCCACCTTGGCTCCAGAACTGAGACAAGCGCTGCTATGTCTGTCAGTCACTGCAGTTTGACTCACTTATGCCAACCTGGGCCTTTAGTCTCTTACTGCTAGTCCTCCACCGCCAGTTTGTCTTAGAACATCTCTTACTTCCATGACTTGATTTGGTTGAGGGCTCAAGTCAAAGGCTGCTGTCTGAGCTGAAGTCAGAGAAACAGTGGTAAAGGGAAAGGAAGGAGTGATGGACAATCTTCAAGTGGCCAGATCCTGGGAGTCAGAGAGGACAGAAGCCTCCCCTGGGGGTATTGCCTTTATCTTAAGGAGCCAGAGTGTCTCTGCTTCTTACAAAGGAGAAGCTCTGCTCTTGGCCCAGCTTCAGAACTAGGAAAATAGTGTTTACAGAGGCCAGAGAAAATAAAGGCATCTGTGGAGCAAGGATACTTTTGAATACTTTTGTCATCACTCCTGACAGTGCAGAGTTTTCACAGGTTGGGCAGGAATTGTCTGGAAGAAAGGCCTGTATATTGGGCATGGGAAGGGAGAGACTTAGCAAGCATGTCCAGGTGGAGATGAGGAGGAAGAGCAGGAAGGGCACACAGGAAACAGTCCCAGCTCCCACACAGATCTCATCAATGGTTTTCCATTGAACTTAACTACCATACAACCTCTCTACCTTGGCTGCATTCCTAGACTTGCTGCAGCCCCTCCTCCTTGGATGTTCTTCCTAACAACAGAGCCTGCCCTGAGGTCCCTCGTACCTGTACTACTAGCTAACATCTGTCAAGTGCCTGCTATGCACCAGTACTGTGCTAAGTACTGAATATAATTATTTCACTTAATTATCACAGCTGTAAAATAGGAATTATTATTACCTTTGGTTTATAGATGAAGAGATAAAAGGTACAGAAAGGTTAAGAAACCTAGCAAAGTTTTACAGCTAATCAGCAGCTGAATCAGAATTTGATTTTAGATCTCTTTGACTTCAGAAGTTGTGCTTTTTATATTTTATCTTAAGAATTCTTTTTAAATCCTGTTTTATTCCACTAGATCAAAGTTCCATGAGGGCAAAGCTATGTCTCTTTTATGTAGTGCTTATCTCCTGGCAACTAACACAACACTACTATATGGTAAGTAGTTATTAAAATAATGCATAAAAAGTGAAATAAAGTTTAGTTACAGCCTCCAAGTGCTTCACTGTGAACCTACTGACATTTCATTATGGTTCCTATTCTTAGGGAACATGCTCCTCAGCCCCTCACATGTAGTTTGAGCAGTAATTAGGAAGACAGGTTTGGGAAAAGATGCCTCCTGGAAGTTCATTCCTACATATCCAATGACCAGCTTGACATAACCCTTGGATGCAAAATAGATTTCCCAAGTTTAATATGTTTTAACTGGTCCTTATTCATTCTTTTCTACCTTAGTCAAGGCCTACGCAACCCACCCACCTGCTAAACTGTAGGACTCCATGAGACGAATAGAGTTCCTTCCTTCTCTTCTTCTTTTTTTTTTTTTTTTTGAGAGGTTTTTGCTATAGAGTGCGTGTGCTCGCCAGAAAGAGAGAGAGAGACAGGGAGATAGAAAGCGAGAAATCATCCCCCAGGGGGGATGGCCATTCTGCAATCCCTTCTCCTCCATTCTTTTCTTGGGATCTTGGGCACGCATGCACACGCACCCAGCGTGAGTTGAAGCCACCGGGTCTGGGACTCGAACCACGGTCAACTACATGGGAGTTCAGCGACATAGCCATCACGCTAACTGCTGGTCCCCTTGTTCTTGCTCTTGCTCTTGTTCTTCCTCCTCTTCCTCCTCCTTCTTTTCTTTCTCTCTCTCTCTCTCTCTCTCTCTCTCTCTCTCTCTCCCCTTTTTTCTGGCCAGAGGTTGCATGGGCTTGCCAGAGAGAAACATAGAGACAGATAGCTGAAGAGAGGGAAAGGAGAAATCACCCACCTCTTAATGGGTCATGGGCATGATGCAATCCCTTATAATCCATTTCTTCGTCTTGTCAGGATTTCAGGCATGCATGCACAAGTGCCAAATATGTTTTATGAGCTGCCAGGGCTAGGATTTGAACCATGTGGTTGGCCATGTGGGATGAGGCTCCCTTAACTTCTGGGCAACAAGACCCTTAACCACTAGACCGAAGAGATTTTCTTTATGACTTCCTTTTCTTTTTTCCTCCCTTCCAATCCAATTACAAGTTCTGATGTTCAGTCTTCCAAACACATCTTTAGACTGGGCATATCGCCTATCACCCTCCTCATCCAAGGCAACATTATTTTTCATCTAGATCATTGCAGAAGCCTCCTAATCTAGAGAATATATGGTTTGAGCATAATTTCTGGATCTTTGTGGATTCTCACCAGCTCATGTGTTTATATGAGAAGAACATATGCATTGTCAGGAAAGTATCACCAGTTATGCTGCACAGAGCACGGAGAAGTTAAGGGCAGTTCATGTGAGCATAATTTTTGGTCAATGTAGGCTAGAGAAAGTATAAGCAGGACTTGGCAATAGAGCATCCGCTTTGCTTGCTAGAGCAGCCCCCAGGCCCCAAGATGGCCATGGTACTGCCCTTCTCCCCTTCCCACCATCTCTGTGTATCTCCTCTCTGTTCAAGTTCTTCTTAGAAATAGGGAAGGCTCTAATGCTGACAGAATAGTACAGCCACTCCTCACTTAATGACCTACCTGATTAATGACCACTTGGACTTAGGACCAGTCCTCCAGTGTGGAGAATTCCCTTTCTCAGTTTTTTTATTTTTTTACCCCCTCATTCCTGCAGTCAGTTGGTATTCACTAAACGAAGCATTCACAATCATGCAAGACTACGTATTTTGTTTATAATTGATATTTTATTATGCACCCATAGTAGTATTCATAATAAATAAAAGACAATTAGGTTGTATTTATATTATTGTATTGTGGTGTATCTTGTTGCTTGCTGGCACTTATTTAACTTATGCTCTTCGTATGGACAGTATTACATTATTCTAGTGTGTGTTGTGTGATAGCTATTGAAAAATATATACCCTATGGAGCTATGACACACCACAAGACATCTGCCTTTAATATCTTTGTTTGTCGACCATCTTGCTGAATGACCTAGCTGTAGGAACAGAATTCAGTCTTTAAGTGAGGAGTGCCTGTACTTCCTACTTCTCTCCCTTCTTTCTTCCTATCTCTATCTCAGCCCACCTGTGTCTTTCTGAGGCATGCAGATAGACAAGCCCAGGACTCCTACCTTCAAGCAGAGTCTCGTTCAGAATTGAAAGGTACCTGAGAATATCATCATCAGCCTTTCTCAAATGCCCAGATATTATGAAGTCAATATGGGGACTCAAAAATCTTCTAAAGCACCTTGGGAACCAGAGATTTGGGGGATATGTGGGTTCAAAGAGGACATCTGAACTCACTTATTTATCCTCTTTATTTCCTGGCATATCTCAAGCCTGAGACTGGAGGTAACTCTGGTCTCTGATAAGGTGAAGGACTTTCTAGAACAGAGTTCAGGGGTATTACCACCTCTGAACAAACACTGCTCCTCCATCCCCAAATACTCGTAACACCTAGGCATTTCTGGAAGTTTGATGAAGCATGAACAAAGAGAAATAAGAAGCAGTATTTTTTCTTTTCTTTTCTTTTTTTTTTTTTAAATCATGAGAAGGCGTGTGTATGTGTGTGTGTGTGCGTGTGTGAGTGTGTGAGAGAGAGACTGAGACCAATAGGGCATGATCACAATGCAATGATTTTTCCTCCATTTCTTCATCCTGTCAGGATTTTTAGTATAGGTGTGTGCGTGTGTGTACACACACACACACACACACACACACACACACACAGACCTGCTATGTTTTTTCAGCTGCCAGGGCCAGAATTCAAACCATGGTTGACCACATGGGATCCAGCTCCCAATGCAATCTTTTGTGTGTGATGTGTGCATAAAGAGGAAGGTTTTTTTTTTTTTTTTTTTTTTTTTTTTTTTTTTTTTTGAGAGGTTTTTGCTATAGGATGCGTGTGCTCGCCAGACAGACAGAGAGAGACAGAGAGACAGAAAGTGAGAAATCACCCCCCAGGGGGGATGGCCATGCTGCAATCCCTTCTCCTCCATTCTCCTCTTGGGATCTTGGGCATGCATGCACACGCGCCCGACGTGAGTTTAAGCCACCAGGTCCGGGACTTGAACCGCAGTTGACTATGTGGGAGTCCGGCGACATAGCCACTACGCTAACTGCTCGTTCCTCAGAAGCAGTGTTTTTGATAGAAGATGGAGAGTACAAGATCAAAGACCAAGAGTTGGTGGCTAAGGAAAGAGATTTCATACGTAGAGAAAGAATAAGGTTCCCTGAAATGAAGATGTTTGGGGGAAAACAAGCACAAAAGTAAACCTGCATGTTTATTAGTTTTTAAAAATGGTTATATAGGAAGAGAGGATTATTTATTTCATATCGGAGTACAGATTTCTTGAAGAAAAAAAGTCATGTTTTGTCATTTTGTGTCTGCCCTAAGACCCCAGTGCCTTTTGTGAACTTATTAAATAGTTGTTGTGGGACCAACAGTTGGCATAATGGCTATGTCGCTGGACTCCCATGTAGTCGACTGTGGTTCGATTTGCGGACCCGGTGGCTTAAACTCACACTGGGCATGTGTGTGCATGTGCCCAAGATCCTGAGAGGAGAATGGAGAAGGGACTGTGGCATGACCATCCCCCCGGGGGGTGATTTCTCGCTTTCTGTCTCTCTGTCTCTCTGTCTCTCTTTGTCTTTCTGGCGAGTGCACATGCCCTGTAGCTAAAACCTCTCCAAAAATAAATAAATAAATAAATAAATAAATAAATAAATAAATAAATAGTTGCATTTCTACTCAACCTCAAAATAATTGACTCCATGTGAAACATTTTAGGCACATCTCCATGTTAGCCCACCATCTGGGCTTCTGGAAGGATGAAAAATAATTTCAGTGTCAGGCTTGCTCCAAGATTATTCAGAACTGGCATGGAGAGGATTATCAGAGGGAGGATTTTGCAGTCAGCCTCTCTGGGGCTTTTTTGAAGGTGTTTATAACACATCCTGCTGACTACTTCCATAAATCCCAAGAGTGCTGATAATTTTTCATCAAAAATAAGAAGTGAAAATGAAGCAATTTGGCTGTGAGAATATCCCTGAATTTCTACTGGGGGCTTATAATTTGGCTGTGAATAAATTTTACCATTTGCATTAGGATATTAAAAAAACACACCCTGATGCTTTAGAATGGAATGATGTCTAAAAACATCTCAAAGTTCAGAGGGCAAGGAGAATTCTCTGAAACAAGACTGGCCAGTACTCTTGAGAACACAGGGAAGAAACTTTTCATTCTTCAAGAACCGTTGACCTTAGCCCTCTTTCTGACTTTTAATAGAAATAATGATTTTGCAGAAGGTTTGAAAAGTCATTAGTTAGAAGCTAGTGCTGTTTATGAGTAGGGAGCCAATGTTCAGATTCAAGGGACTGAAGTTTGGGGTGAGACCAAACTTTAGACCCTAAATTCTGAGTTTTCACAATCGTATTTTTTCTGTTGCTCTTTTATAACGAAAGTAAAACAAATCAAACTTTGAAATAATGAAATCAAGGGTTAAAATAATCACAGCTAATATTTAGTCCTTACTAGGTGCCAAGAGCTATTTTGTGTGCATTAATTTAACTCTCACAATCCTATGCTTAGAAATGATGAAGCCTAGAAACGGAAAAGTGAAATAAGCCACTCTAGCTCGTAGGACATATCCATGTTAGCCTGATGTCAAAGCTGAACTCCTATGCAGGTAATACCACTTCCAATCAATGCCAATAAATGAAAAGGTAGAGGAACTATAATTTTTACCGAGCTCCAGTACCTAGGCCCATGATGAGCTAACCAGGAAAATAAAAAAAAGACTGTAACAGGGGCCAGCAGATGGCATAGTGATTAAGGCATTGGACTCCCACATAGCCAACCATGGTTCAAGTCCTGGACCTAGGGCACATGTGCATGTGTGCCTGAAATCCCAAGAGAAGAATGGAGGAGAAAGGATGGCGTACCATCACCCTGGGTGTGTGTGCGTGTGTGTGCGTGTGTGTGATTTTTTACTTTCCATCTCTC